ATTAGAGGGAAAAAAGAAGTGTGTTATATAAGCTGACCAAATAAGTAAACTATAAGTTTATATTCTGATATTGACAGTAATGAGTGTCTACAGGGGAGTAATGGATGTAATGTCTTAAACGTATAATGGAACTTCACAACAGGAAGAGAATTTAATAACAATGCATTGTTTACTTCAAAGCTACTAGAAGATAGGATTTTTAACTGTTGTCATCACAAAGAAATAATAAATATTTGAAGTTAAGGATATGTTAATTAGCTTGATTTGACCATTGCAAAAGGTATACACGTATGGAAATACCACATTGTGTCCCATAGATATATACAGTATTATTGGTCAGTTAGAAGTAAACTAATTTTATAAACTAAAAGAGACAGACATAAAGTGAACATTCAATAGGTTTGTAGAATTTGGAGAAGCCTTTCTAGAAAAAGTGCTGCTAATAAAATAAAACAGAATCACTGGAGTAGATGAAGGGAATTGAAGGAGAGGGAGGAAGGATGGGATAAAAAAAAGACAGTGGAATGAATCTGACCTAAGTTTCCAGTGCACACATATGAATATACCACAGCAAATCTCATCATCATGCACATCCACAAGACACTAGTTAAAAAAAACAAAACTATGTGTAAATAGCAGAAAGCTCGATAGAGTAGAGGGAAGGGAACAGAGGGAGGAGATGGGGAAGAAAAGGGAAGTACTGGGGACTGAATTAAAGCAAATTATATTCCGTGCTTTTGTGATTATGTCAAAATGAATCCTAATGTTATGTAGCACTAAAAAGAATCAACCATTTCTGTGTGTTGTCTCAACTGAGATGAAGAGTTACAAGTCCTTTAGAATGCAATATGTAAAAATGTTGAGCAGGAATGCTCTCATGAAATTTCTTACCTTGATCTTCCCTTTCACTCTCAGGACATTTACTGAGTACCTATTTTTGCATAGTGCTGTTAAAAGTTAAGGAACAACATAAATAAAAATCCCTTAAAGAGTTTACAATCAAGTAAATGAGAAAGATCAGTACTGCTTCTTAATAACTTCAATATCTAGTGTATAAGATAAATATTAAAATGGTTATGGAAGTTCAGAGGACTTTCTGTACATACCAATTAACTCTGGATATCATCACTTTTATTTCATATGCAATGATTGAGTTTCAATTTTCATCATTGAGTTCTAAAATCCTATTAAAAAACACTTTAAAAATTAAACTGCTACCTGAACAATTTATTTTTCACCCTAACCTTTTAATGGCTCACTTTATATTGTTTCAATAATTCATTATTTGTTGCCAATTTCATTCTTTTTCCTCCCTTTTCTTGCTGAGAGATCATAAACCAAACCTGACACCAAACCACAGAGCACAGTTTGATCTGGTCTGTCTTCAAGTCCTCTCCTTTTCATGGCTCTTCAACCATATCTTCCTGTATTCTGTCCTCATCCATGCTGGGTTCAGGGACAGGTGATTGATTACATGTTCCTTCTCATGGCCAATAGCTCTACTTAGCCTCCTATCATAAATGTTAGTTCAGTTCAATAGCAAACACACATTGGGCATTCACTGAATCTTGTGTCAGCCACTAAGAAGAGGAAGCAAGTGAAATAGCAGCAGTTTTGTGTCCATGGAAGCCACGGCATTTGCCAAGGGCTGAAAAACCCATGCTTAGAAGGATGAATTATATTATTATTATTATTATTATTATATCTTCTTATAATATCTTATTATGTTTATTAAGAGTCTGGTGATTCTTATAAAAAACGAAAATTGATTTTGAACACCTGCTGCATGTCAGACACTGTATTAGGGACAGTGCTTTTCAAAGGAATAAGAGACAAAGAAAGAAAGTCACTAGCTATATATTGCACAAAGATATCAGATATCTGAGAGATAAGGCAGAGAAATTGTGTGGAGTGACAGATTCGGAGTATGTGTGTCTACTTCTGTGTGTCAAGAAGAATAAGTTCCAAGAAATTTGAACAGAGTAGATGAATTGTAACTGTGTAAAGTTTTGATGGGTGTATGTGAATTTACAAGGATGAGCAATAGGAGAAGGGTGTTTTCGACGTAGATAACAGGAGCATAGGTAACATGAGATATGAAGGAAAAATAATAGCAATCAGTTTATCTTATAACTGCAAGAAAATTAACACGATGGAAACTTAAGCGTGAGGCAGGGTGCTGTGGGTGATGAAGCTAGAGGAATCATCAGGGTCAGGTCACACAACTTGAATTCTGAGGGATGGAAGAAGGACTTTGATTTTAGTTGCACAACATCAAAAACCAGGCATTTCCAAATATTTTATGAATAAATAAGCAAATCATTCTCCATCTCTTCTAATTTAACTCCAACAAAATTCCTTTCCTTCTTTAGTATCTTGTTTGCTACCATTGATTCATTTTCTGCAGTCTCCAATACTCAAGTTTTGTCCCAACTCAAAAATGAAAGCTTCCTACACTGTAGTATAGCTATTTTCCACACATTCAATTTGATCAGTATATATTGAATAGCCTTATTATTGACCTCTGTGCTTAGATAGCAAAGAATATAAAACACAAATCTTCTTTCTTCTTTACATTTTTATAATGCTAAAAAGTTATTTGAAGAATAGTCTGCTTTTGTTCATTATTCCTTCACCTTCAGTAACAGAATGTTTTTCTCTAATAACTCTCAGAGACTCCCCCAACTGATGTCACTGATGATTTTCTAAATACCAAGTATAATAGTTTATTTTCAGATTTGTTTTTCTTTCCATCATCTCAAATTTTGGCAATGGGGGATTACCTCTTCCTTGAAATTTTCTCCTTCAGTGGCTTCAATGCCAGTTGTTCTGGCATTTTTCCTATTTATCAAGCAATGTTTTTGTTCTATCTTACAAATTGTGGTATCCTTAAAGGGATACCACAATTTGTAAGATAATTTGTAAGAAAAGCACCTTAAAGGGTGCTTTTCTTCCAAAAAGTTCCTCTTATTTCTCTCCATATAATGTACTTAGGATACCCTAATTATTTCCATGGCTTTAAACAGACCTTGCATCCAGATAATTCACAAGTCTGCAATCTAATTATAGCATATCCTGAGATCTATGCTTCAAAAGTTAGCAGACTGTTGTGGCAACATGTCTGGGCTTAAACTGAAGGCAGTAATGAAAAGTGAAAGTAGGCAATCAAATCTTCCAATTAGAGAAATTCTGGCAGCAGTTTGGAGAAAAAAAATCAGAACTCTCACTTTTAGTAAATAAAAGGTGAATAAAGTACTTTATCTCTGAGGGACATCCCCATCCATAAACCCTCATGTACTTGACCTTCAATGCAAGCCAAACAGAAATCATTCTCTGCCCCATTCTAAACCCAGCTCTTTCTTCTGTTACATTTTTCAGCAAATTGCATGAAGCTCTAGTAATCATCTAATTAGAATTAGTCTCCACCCACAACATATACACATTCTCTTCCTCTTTTTTTCTGTCTCTCATGTCCTACATACAAATATTCATTAATTTATACTGATTCTACTTCCAAAATGTCAAAAACTGGAGCCTCAGGAGATCTATATGTAAACCACCAAGAATAGGAAACTGTGGCAAACTGTTGCTGGTGTATTTGTTGTATTTCGTTGCAATTTTCTTACTTTGAGAAAATAAAATTGTATTTCATTGCAGTTTTCTTACTTTGGTTAAAAAAAAAAACCCTAAACTGATCATAGTAGAGAATAAAAAAGGGATTGATGAATCACAGTAGATGGGGTAGAGAGAGAAGATGGGAGGGGAGGGGAAGGGGGATAGTAGAGGATAGGAAAGGTAGCAGAATACAACAGTCACTAATATGGCAGTATGTAAAAATATGGATGTGTAACCGATGTGATTCTGCAATCTGCATTTGGGGGTAAAAATGGGAGTTCATAACCCACTTGATTCTAATGTATGAAATATGATATGTCAAGAGCTTTGTAATGTTGTGAACAACCAATAAAAAAAAGGGATTGATGAATATTCATTGAGGGAAGCACTATACTTCTCTCAAGCTACCCCCCGCTTTTTTTTTGAATTCCATCACTCTCAAATCTGACTCATTTTCTCCAATCCACATACACTGAAATTCTCTTTTGTGTGAAATAAGCTATATTCTTTCAATTAATTTTCCTATTCAGATCTCAAAGACACTCTTTTCTCATTGCATTGTTAAGGGCTGTAGCTTGTGGCTGTCTTTAGCTGCTAAGTTAGACCATATGGCCTCATCAGTATTCTCTAAACCATCACTGATGGCATGGTTATAGTGTATGACGGACCTGGGTTTAGCTCGTTGCTCAAATACTAACAGGTTTTGAGACCTTGTATAGCAATACAAATCTACATTTTTTTTGACACTTGGTCAGCAAACATTATTGTGCTTTATAAGATTCTTTTAATTTGTACTAGAACACATATGGCAACTATTAGTAGATTCACTTTAAACTCACTTTTCTGATAAATAAACTGAATTTAAGAGAACTGATAAAAACATATTCAGGATCACACACAACTGGTGAATGTCAGAGTTGGGATTTTTAACTCAGTGCTTTTTTAATTCCAATGTTTTCAGGAAAGTTTATTTCACTAATGCCTACAAAAAATGTAAACACCCTTTGATTTAGTTTCTTCATCTATAAGATAGGATAGATACTATGCGTAACAGGTTTCTGGCATGCTGAAGGTATTCCAAACTGCTAATTTTAAAGGTTTAGTAAAAGGCATTGGGCTTAGGAATGAGGCTCACTGATCATGATAAATGTAATAGTGCACTAATTAAATTATCTAACAACATTATCCAAGCCCTGCCAGGAAGAACAAATCGTCCATTTTCTGCAGATTTCCTGGGAATAAATAACCCTACAAATTGTATCATCCTCTTTATCTCACCATCCCATCATCTGATCTATTTCTGCCCATTGTGATAAAATTCTTTCCTGTGGATAAGAAGGGGCATCTCACCTAGAGTCAGGCATGCTCACTGAACAGTTACTCACAGAGCACATCCAGCAGTTCTGCTGTCCTCTTAGTCTGACTCAGATGCTGGAGGAAGCTTCAGATTCCAGATGATGACTGAACTTATTTCAGCTTGGTTGGAGAAAGGCATACAGCTGAGAGGCCAGTTCCCATTGGTGGTGCTAATTCACCGTGTCTCTGGGTTATGGGTTCCCAGAGGACTTGCTTGATACAGTCTTTTTATATTTGTTCCATTATGCAATTATTTATTGTAGCTTCATGATTTATGGGCCGATATAACTCTTTTTGTACTGGGAATTAAACTCAGGGGCATTTGACCACTGAGCCACAGTCCCAGCCCCATTTTATATTTTATTTAGTGACAAGGTCTCACTGAGTTGCTTACTGCCTGGCTTTTTGCTGAGTCTGGCTTTGGGATTGTGATCCTCTGGATTTACCTTCCAGAACTGCTGGGATTATAGGCCTGGCTAATTATGTAACTCTTCTGTTGTGCCATTTTATTTTAAAAAAGTTTTCCTTAACAGCTTTATTGAGATCTAATTAATATGCTATAAAATTCATCCATTTATAGTGTATAATTTAAAAGATTTTAGCAAAGTCACAGACTTATGCAGCAATCACCTTTATAACATGATTTTGGAAAAATTTTTAACACCCCACAAAAGAAACCCCATCATTATTAGCAGTCCTTTTAAAGGGGATGACTTTAAAATATGAAATTTACACCAAATTGCGTAAAGGCATCTCCTATCACGAGTGTGAGTAATACTGTCCCCCATAACTCCTTACCATCTGTCATATTCACCGTAGTACTGGTTCGTTAGTGTGGTATTCTTTTATTACCTGTGATTTTTTTTATAGTGGCAGCAATCTTTTACAGCTAGGAACAATAATTCATTTATTCATGCATGCATATATCCATAGGTATTTTATAAGAGTGTTTTATTATTATAGTTTGAATATGAGGTGTCCCCCAAAAGCTCATATGTTAGACAAAGCAGGAATTTTCAGAGGTGAAGCGATTAGGTTGTGAGAGTCTTAACTGAGTCAGTGGATTAATCCACTAACATGGATTAATTGAGTGGTAACTGTGGGAAGGTGGATATAATTGGAGGATGTGGGTCACTAGGGGTTTACATTTTGTCCCTGGTGAGGGGAGCTCTCTCTGCTTCCTAAATGCCATGTGATGAGCTGCTTTCCTCCTCCACACCCTTCTGCCATGATGTTCTGCCTCATCTTGTGTTCAGAGCAATGGAGTCAGCAGTCTGTGGTCTGCGACCTCTGAAATTACTCACACCAAATAAAATTTTCCCCTGCTAAAATTGTTATTGTTAGGTTTTTAGTCAGAGTGATGAAAAACTAACTTATATTAAAAAACATATATTAAAACACATATTAAAAAACACTTATATTCCAAACATCTTGGTAAATGCTAGAGATTTAAAAAAAAGAATACAACATACCTCTTACTGTCCAGGGTTTTAGTGTTAAATATGATCAACCAATGAGTATGTGTTAACCAATGACAGGGCTCTCTTAGAGGCATAAAGCAAGTGCTTGATGAATACCATGGGTCAAAATCTCAGCTCACAACTTAAAACAATTAAATTGTTTTATTTAATTTTTCTTGATTTGATCTATTTTCTATTTTGAAGTTCCAATCCCTTAGGTAGAAGAAAATTAATCATAATAATGTGGGGTTCTCCCAAATTATTGTGTTCAGTTTTTGAGAATGTTGTATTGTACCAAGGATTTGCTGTTATTTGGCCAGAGATGTCATCTGATATGAGGTAACTCTTGATCTTTGTGTTAGTCAGCTTTGCATCACTTTGCCCCAAAGAAGAACAACTTAGCTCATGGCTTCAGAGGTAATCAGCTCATAATTGCCAGCTCCACTGCTCTGGGCCTGAGGTGGGGCAAAACATCACGGTAGAAGTGTGGCCAAGGAAATCTATTAAGCTCATGATAGCCAGGAAGGACAGAGAAGGAGATGGAGAGAGATAGGGACAAGGAGCGGGAAGAAGGGGTCAGGGAGAAGATAAATCCTTCTAGGGCATGCCCCCAGTGACTAGCTTCAACTAGGTCCCACTTTCCAGAGGTCTATCCAATTATCAATGGATTACTATATTAATTGATGAGGTCAAAGCCCTCGCGATCCAATCAATACCTAAAAATCTCTCTTTGAACTTTGCTGCATTGGGGCCCAAGACTTCAATATAAGCTTTTCTAGATCCAAACCATAACACCCTCATTAGTCTTTAGTAAATTGTACCCATAGATTGCTATATATTATCTAGCTATCATTTTTATTTCTGGCCTTTTTAAATCCTCAGAGATTTCCAGCATTTCTACACCCCTCTTGGGCCTGGGGATCTTTGAGTCACCCTTGATTTCTGTTACATCCTGTGTTCAATCTATCGGCAAGTCTTGTCAGCCTCCTGGAAAATACAATAAGAATTTGATCATTCTTCATGATGTCCAAAATTTCCACCTTTATCAAGTAAAAAATTTTCTCTTATTAATGTAATTTCAGTAGTTTCCTAATTTTGTTTCCATTCTGATCTCATTTGCCTCACACTAAGTCTGTTGCACTGAATATATAGTACAAAAAAATGTTTTGCCCTGAGGTATTTTATTCTTCACAAAGTAACAGAAAAGGAAACAATATCAATCATATTTTATTGTGTATTTTATGTCCAAGTTACTATGCCAAGAGTTTGTGGTAGGCAAAATTATTAGATAGGCAAAAATATTTTATTGTTTATTGGAGCAAAATGCTGAGACTCAATAAGATTTATTGCAAGTCCCTACAGCACAGTTTTCTTGTGTCGAATTCTGTCCTTCCTGTTTGGATTACTAAGTTTGGGAAACATTACTTTGAAGTCCAATGAAGTCACAGACTATGATGTGTTTTCCAGATTCAATGGTATTATATTGATATATCCAAGATGTCCACATCCTGAACCTGGAATATGTTAACTTATATGGAAAAGGGGACTTCATAGATGTGATTAAAATTAAAGACTTCAAGATTAGTTGGAGAGATTAGTTGGGCTGTGTGTTTCTTCATTCTAGACACATGAATCCTTAAAATTGGTGAACCAGAGAGATGTCAGGGTGAGAAGGACTTGATTCACTGCTGCTAGATTTGGAAATGGCAAAAGGAGGCCACAAGTCAAGAAATGTGAATAATCTCCAAAAAGACAAATGACAAAAGATTTGTCATTTGTCAATTTTCCCTAGATCCTCTATAAATAAATGAAAATTGCTGGTACCTTGATTTTATCTCAGTGAGATCCATGTCAATTTCTGATCTATACAACTCTAAGATCAATTTAATTGGAAAAATCCACTATTCGTTTGATTTATGCAGTATTCAAGAATTAGAGAGTTTAAGTAACTTACTTAGGTCTCTCAGTGAGTGGCATAACCAGTATTCAAAGCGTCAGATATTGGACAGCCTTTCAATATTCAAAATTCATTGTTTAAAGTCTTCATATGATGTCCATTCAGCAATACTTCCAAATTTATGTCACTTAAACTCAATAGCATGCCTGTATGCTTATGTGGCAGATTGGATGTTAACAATCATCACTTGTGTATGCTTAAACTTTTTACATAATGGATTTTTTCTCCACTATTGTGTCTCCAGACAGTACATTTCTTGAGACCTTTGAAAAACTCTCCTCTGGCAGATTGGGCAAATTCTAGGTCTGTGACTGTTTTACCACCCATCTCAGAAACTATTTGAGAATGGTCTCATTTATTCTTTCCCCAGATTAAAGGATATTATTCTTCTCTCAGAGAAATTGTAAGAATAGTAGTTGTATGTATATTCTGTTTTGATCTTTGCACATGTACACAAAACTGGTGTGTATATTGGTCAAAGTACTCATACCTACCTACATTGGTCCATATTCTTCAAATTATGGCCTTTTATTTGCAGATAAATGGATGGAATTGGAGAATATCATGCTAAGCAAAATAAACCAATCCCCAAATCCATAGGCCAAATGTTTTCTCTGATATGTGGATGCTGATCCATAATAGGGGTGGTGTGCAAGGGAAAAATGGAGGACTTTTGGGCAGAGGGAGTGATGGGAGGGGAAGGGGTATGAGGAAGAAGGATGGTGAAATGAGTTGGATATTGTTGCCCCATGTACACGTATGATTTATTAGTGGTGTGATTTTGTGTCATGTTCAAGCAAAGACATGAAAAGTTTTGCTCCATTTGTGTACAACGAGTCTAACTGCATTCTACTGTCATGTATAACTAATTAGAACAAATAATTTAAAAAATGGCCTTTAAAGTTGGGGATGAATCTTAGATTATAGAATGCTTGCCTTGCATGCACAAAGCCTTGAGTTCAGTCCCCATCAGTCCAGCAATATATGTGTGTGTGTGTATGTGTGTATACATACATATATATGATATATAAGATACAATAAATATATAAATATATTTATATATAATATACATAATATATATCAATATAATATATATATTTTGTTATCCTACTTTTCTGTCAGCTTAGCAAAACTATCACTGGCAATTTTATTACACTAGGAGTCTAAGCACAATGTTTCTCAAAAAATTACATGAAGATATATGTTATTAATATGTCAATATCTATACATTGAATCTGGAAAACACATCATAGTCTATGACATTATTGGACTTTGGAGTAATGTTTCCCAAACTTGGTAATCCAACCAGGAAGGGCAGAATTTGACACAAGAACACTGTATTGTAAGGACTTGCAATAAATCTTATTTAGTGTCAGCATTTTGCTGCAGTATACAGCAAAATATTTTTGCCTATCTAATCAGCAAATATTTTTAAAAACTTAGTGTTGTGTTGCTGTGCTATGGTGGACTAAGTATTGTTTTACAATATTTGCATAAACTTTATGGAAGTAGAGTTTCCAGCATATTATTGTCTTAAAATGTTCATAAGTTTCCATTTCTAAAAATTTATTGAAAGGAAAATATCAGAGTGAGTCCACATTTTATGCACAGGAACATTTATTGCAGTATTATTTTTATACTAGTAAAAAATATGGGTTAAAAATTATCAATGATACGGAAT